ATAGGAGAGAGCGCCTGCTCCCCCGGCGGCCGAGCTGTCTCCGTCTTCCTCGCACACCCACACACACGTATACACGGTACAATGTGCCGACGGCAAAGTCAAAAGGCAAAGGTAGCAACAACTCAATGATATCCGAGCGCCCCGACGCGCTCTCTCGCTCTCGCTCAACTGAAGCCGACAGCGGCGACGTAAGAGAATGAGAGCGAATGGTTGGGCAAACGTCATTATCATGTCAGTCTGCCTCTCGCTCGCACACATTTTTGGGGGTGAGTGAAAAAGAGAGAGCGAGGGGTGCCAATGCGAGTGTGAGTGTGTGTGTGTGCGTGCCATTAACGCCATCATGCTCATCATATCGCTCTCTGGCCCGATCCTGCAGCTGCTGCTGACTGTCCTTTTACTAAGCGCCTGCCCCTACATAACCTCACTCCCTTGTGTTGCAGACAGCCTCTCGCCCCCTCCCTCGGCACCCCCCACACCCCACACACCCCTGTTGTGTGAGTACATATTTGCACTGCAATTTGGCATCGTCGCTGGCTGCTCTTGTGATTCGCCTCTTTTTGCGCTCCCATTTACACAGGTGAGCACAGTGGTCGCTCGCATAGGGATCTTTGATTTCAGGGAGATTTCGTTATATTTATTATTATATATTTGTTTTAGATGGTGGTCTAATATACTGTTCATAATAATTTACTGATATAATTAATTGCCAAAATTTAAAACGATAAAATGCTTTTTCATTATTGATTTATATCTCTAATTTGTTGTTTAGCATCGTGAAAAATATTCGAATAAAATTATAACATGAAAAATAATTATTTAACAAATAAGTTAGTTAAGTTTTGTATACCTAGCAAGTCCCACGAATTTGGCTATCGGAAAATAAGTTAAGTAATAATTTTAAATAATGCCAAAATCCAACTCATTCACTTTCAAAAACAAATAATTTAACTAAAGTTCGCAAAACTCTACAGATAATAACAAATAATTTAAAAACTACTAAAATATAATATGGGATTACATTTTATGATTTGTTTTATATACACATTATTTTTATACATTAAATTGAAAGTTTTATAAACACTACAAAACAAAATAGTTGCTGCCTAATATTTATTAATTTGTTTACTTATAAAATTATGTTGATACAAAAAATTACTCTGAAACACTTTTAATAAAAAATATTAAAAAATATTTTATTATATATGACAAATGTCTTACCATTTTCGAGGATTAAAACCTTAAAACCGGAAATAAACCCACAAAAGTAGGCAACATATTTTATAATTATGATCGAACCATGTCTGTCATAATGTTTAGCACCTTTATGTTCATTAATTGTTATTACTTAAACAATTTTTTATAGATTTACAAAAAAGGGAAATATCTATAAGCAAACCTACATATTTTAGCTAAAAAACCTATGTATCTAACCAAACTACAAAGCACCTACTGTATATTCCTTTTAACAATAGTTTATATTTTTCCTTTTTTATTTTTTGGGTGCCCCTCCCCTCTTGCGCTCTTTCCCGCTGGGCCATTATCGAAATCGGAGGGCAAAGGCAAATACCGAAAACAGAAAACGCAAAACACATCAGAAATGCCCTCTATGGAATCGCATTTTTAGTGCAGTTTCCACAAGCGGGGCATGTGAAATATGCTCCGCATCAGAATCCCAGTCTTCATCCGATGCCATGACAACCGGAGTGAACAAATACACTCACATGTGATGCCATTGTTTCGCTGTAATAGAGATGGATTCACAGAGAGAGGGGGCGCAAGGGAGAGAGAGAGGGAAAGGACCTTCCCTGGGACGAGAGGAGAAAAGAGGCGGTGGCGATGGCAAAAAGGTGAAACGATTGAGCACCCTGGGAGATTTTTTAATCAAATAATTACAGTAATTAGATGCAAGCCAAATGTCAAAAGCCTGCATGAAATTCCCATGCGTAGAGCAAAGCGAAAAAAAACGCATTGAGAATTCACAATTGGAAAGAGATCTCATATGACTCGCTTTGGGAACCGATCTAAAAAGGACTCTATTTATGTTCATTTTGTAAAAACTACAACGACTATAGGGAGGATTTTTATTTAGGGATACACATTCTCATAGGATGGAAAAAACTATACTATATACGATAAACATTTATATGCTAGACAAAAATTAAAAGAAAATATAATATAATATATCTGTCATGAATTTATTACTTGACAGTTTTATTTAAAAGTGCTATTTTGCACTATAAAAGTTAATTACCATTCTAACTATAATCGTTTACCATATTTATTTTATAAGTATGTATATATATTAAGAAATAGAATTTAATGTTCTCCACTATCATCAACTTCCTTAAAATTCTTTAAAATCTTTTCTAAAAATTTACAAGAAATAACAACAACAATTACCAAAACTTCCTCAGGCAGAATTATTCCATTTAATAACGACAACTTTTCTTAGGAGACTTTTCCACAAGGCTCTCAAGAAATCAACTTTTTGCATTTTCCACACCTCAAGTGTCTGCAACAATAAAGCGAAAGGGATAAGGAGTGCAGGAGGGAGGAGGTCCTGGAGGCGAAGCAGAGGAAAGATATGGCATTCATTACAGCAATTGAAATGGACAAAAGCCAAAATTGAAGGCAGGAAAAAAAGAACGACAACGACGACAGCACAAGCCCAAGTTGGAAAAGGGATAATAAAATGTTTGCATATAAAATATTAAATAAAAGACGCAGTGAAGGAGCGGCGTAGGACGAAAGTGTAGGGAGTGGAGAAATGGCCGCCTTCTCTACATAGAACGCAACGAAATGAGCGAGGACACTGAAAGAAATGTAAGGTGGGGTGTTTAAGGAAGTTAAGGTAAAATTTCTTTTATAAAAATGTTTCATAAAGGTAGCAACATAAAGATAAAATTCAGAACACAATTACTTTGACTTTTGACCAATAACTCTCAAATTATGAATAGAACCTTTTTTTCTAGGTAAGTAGTGTGCAATGTTTTAAACTAAACATAAATAATTTATTTTATAATGAAAAAGCATTTACATTTTTTAAATATACAAATTAAGGTATATTCAATTATCGTTTTAATTTTCTCTAGATTTTCGAAATTTCTCTTAAAAATATTTATTCCTTGGGTTTTTGAGGATAACTCAATGCCTAAAAATGTCTTTTATCTTGATAACTTTCTCAGTGCATTGTTGGCAGCGACAAAATGACAGAGCCAGGTGAGTTTGAGACCGAAAAGATATCCAGGTGAGTTCCCGGGCAAAAGGCTCAGCGACTAGGTAAATAAAGTCGTGGTCCTTTTCTATGTAAAACCATTTGTGGGGGTGGGGGTGCGTAAGGCTGTTGATGTGTGTGTGTGTACTTGTGTTGGTGTAACTTAATGATCATCAGGAAAATACCGTTAGGGGGCGTAGCAAATGGCAGGGAGCAGCGCAGTCAACGCATCAAAATGGCAGCGCATGCGTCGCACTGCTCTGGCACCCGTGCTGTGTATGGCCAATCGGTGGGTGTGTCCTCACTCACTCACTCACACACACACGCACACACTTGATTAGCCTCGGACATTTTGTTACTGTTGCTCTCTCCAGACGCTGCATGACCGCCCTCTCTCTTTTCTCGCTCTCACTCACTCTCTCTCGATTTCGCTGGCTGGAAATTCAACAGGCACGAAGAAAGCTATTGCCATCGCAGTCACACCCACGCACCTGCCATTTGATGCATTGGCATTTTTCTTTAACTGTTTTTTATTTATACTTTTTTTGAGCACTCGAAACTTGAACTTTGCCGGCTTTTACTTTCGTTACAAAAAAATTTAGATATACTTAAAAAATTAGCCAAACAAATGTGAGCTCAATACAAATTTTACTTCTTCACATTTTTTTGAAAATTAATCAGCACAGCGGCTTCCACTCGAGAATTCAGGATATTGGAAAAGCGCACAATTTCCAAGTTGATTATTTCGCACCACTGCATTGCAAACGTGTGCGTTCGTGTGTGTGTGAGAGAGAGTGGCACACGCTTCTTACCTGTCCAAAAATTTCATTTATTTTTTTTTTTTGGTTACTAACAAAGGCATCTCCACAAAGATACCACAAAAAGTTGCCAAAAAACGAGAACCGAACCGAATTTTTGCGCTATTTATTTGTGTGCTCTCGTCTGTTATGAATTAAGTGTCCTGCGTATGTGAGTGTGTGGTTTTTGTCCTTTGTTGTTGCCCATCTCTTTGTCTGTTGCCAAAAAAAGAAAATGTTACCACAAAAAATCACAAATTGCGGGATCAAAGGTGAAAAGTGGAAGGAGCGACAGGACTCACTCAAAATGTACTAAATAATGAAATAAAATAAAAATCATTCCGATTTTATTGGCACGAATAAAGAACGTTTTCTATTAAATTTTAAGAAATATCTAATTAAACCCGGATGAAAAATTAATTGAGAAGGAAAGCAATTGGAATTGTGATTGTAAATCAGATCATATTTTATCGGTTATATTTTTTTCATTTTATTTTTTATTTATTATTTAACGTACAGAACCATTTTATTGTATGGTTGGATAAGTTGTAATATTTTACAAGTCTAAAGAATTAAATAAATAAATATGTAATATGTCCTTTTTAATAGATCCTGTATAATTAAATTTCTATAGCATACTTTATGGCGCAGCATTGTATTGCTCCGCTTGAGTCGCAATTTGTTAAGTAAGTTTAATAAGATATAGAAACATGTACCAATATAAGGACAAAAATTAAGTCAAGGATTAAAAAAAAATTCATTAATTTTATTAATTACAATATATATTTATTATTATTATGTTTACTTCTTACATGCATACCTCAGGTTACAGAAAGCAGTATCATTATAGTAAATTAATCTCATTAAAACTTTATAAAAAAAATTAATATAGTATTGTGATTTCAAGCCATATTTTACAAATTATTTGAGTATAGTAGAATTTACAGTTTGTAAATTTCAAAATAAGCTTGGTTCAAAAGCTCCATTTCAATATATCGGCCAAATGTGTAACTGACAGGAAAGCTCATTTTTGCAATCTGCAACGATTTCCACGATATTTGCCATTCCCAAGCAAGTTGCAACTCCGGCGCATCACTAAAGAGGTGCATATGTGGAAATCAACCATCGCGATTGAATCATTCTTAAGCTGACTTAGACCGCCGCCACCTACACAGAAACGGACTCAGGATGATAACGACTTGGTACCGATCTCTGCCGAGATTAACCCGTTATTGGTTCACCACGACAGTGTGGTCAGCTGCTTCGTCAGTCGTTTTAACCTGATTCCCATCGAATGGCTGGACCTGAACTGGGAGGTGATCTACTACCGGTGGGAGGGGTGGCGCTTTGTGACTTCAATTGTTGCCTTCCCCATAAATCCGAACACAGCGTTTCGATTCATGATTTATTGCTACTTCCTGGTGACCTACAGTGGGATGCTGGAGAAGGATCAGTTCGGCCGGAGTCCGGCGGGATATCTGTATCTTCTAATCATTATAGCTGTTCTGGCGAATATCGGAGGACTCCTGCTTGGAGTCACCTGCCTAATGGAAACGACAGTGATGTCTGTGCTGTATATCTGGTGTCATCTCAATCAGGACGTGACTGTAAGCTTCTGGTTCGGATCCCGTTTTAAGGCCATTTATCTGCCATGGGTGCTGGCGGCCTTTGATTTCATCTTTAATTTGTAAGATTTTTCATTATAAAAATATGTTTTTAAGTCTTTCTAATTCGTGTTCTATCCATGCAGCACCCTGGAATCCTTCGTTGGCATTTTTAATGGCCACATCTACTATTTTCTCATGTTCCATTATCCCAATCTGTTGGAAACACCTCGTATACTGTGAGTATAAATACTCTTGTTTTCGTTTCTTTGTTTTTTCTTGGAAAAATACATTATTGCCTTGATAAGCTCGATTAATTATGTACAGTATATACATAGATTATTTATGAGCTCACCTCTTGGATTACTTTCAGTAAACGCATTCTGCCTGATCTTTATGGTGGCTTCACCAGTTTTGGTGCGCCATCAGAGAGCAGGTCAGCTGCCGAACCGAATCCAGATCACTCCTGGGGACGGGGAATCACCCTGGGAGGCAACTAAAACTAAGATGAAAGAGTTTCCAATAAACCAGTGGCGGCCAGAAACCATCAGAAATGTGACTGACAAACATTTTATAAATTTATTTTCAATTGATTAGGTATGTTTTTGTTTATAAATACATACATATACATTATCTTATGAATATATTTTTTTACTTATCTATTAATCAAATAAATAATTGAATCTAACCAAATTTTAAAATTTGTAAACAAACATTCACTTAGAGACGTGTTGCTTGTCACCAAAAGCGATAGTCACGATATTTTTGCCATTCGGAGCGAAATGCATTTTCTGTCACCTCTAGAAAGACACGTAAAGCAACAAAAATACCCCCAATCATTCAGTAGGAAAACAAGTAAATTTAATGAATTAAGTACAAATACATATAGTTAGCAAAAAAAAAAGCACACAATGGACGCTGGCACATGGTACCGTTCCCTGCCCCGCTTCACCCGCTACTGGCTCACGGCCACCGTCGGTCTGAGCCTAATCTGCCGCTTCAACATAATCCCCTTGTATTGGCTCCATCTGGATAGATCTGCCGTCTTTGGCAAGCTGCAGCTCTGGCGCTGCGTGACGTCACTGTTCGTGTTCCCGATCTCGTCAAATACGGCCTTCCACTTCCTCATCAACTGCTTCTTCATCGTGCAGTACAGCTCCAAGTTGGAGAAGGATCAGTATGGACGAAGTCCGTCGGACTACTTGTATTTGCTGATCGTGTCGGCGGTGCTGTCGAACATTGGCGGCATGCTATTCAACGTGTACTTCCTCATGGACATGCTCGTCCTGGCGATCACGTATATCTGGTGCCAGTTGAACAAGGACGTCACAGTGACCTTTTGGTTTGGCACACGCTTCAAGGCCATGTACCTGCCATGGGTGCTGGCGGCTTTGAGTTCATCTTTCATTTGTAAGTCGTTGCGACGGAGGGGTTTTTTCTCTTTATAATTGATGATTGATATTTATTGCAGCTCCCTTGCCTCGCTGGTGGGCATTTTATCGGCCATGTGTACTACTTCTTCAAGTTCCAGTACTCACAAGATCTGGGTGGCACGGCCCTGCTGGAAACTCCTCAATTTTTGTAAGTATACCTTGCTTTATAGGTTCTAAAAGTCCAAACTATCGAAAGTTTGACCTCATTTAAGGTCAAAAGATATGTCACACAAACTGCTACCAAATCAATTTAAAAAGCAAATGTCTCAAATATAATGAAAGAGTTTAGCATAGAGATAAGACTTTAGTTTATATCGAAAGCTATTTCTGTGGCTGTCCTGTATGTTAAATAAATATTTGTAAGTTAAATCGACAACATATTGTTGCTATTGACAGTATATATCGAATGATTACTGATTAAATGCAATCTCTCTTTCAGGAAGCGTCTTGTGCCGGATGTATCCGGCGGTTTTGGTGGCTTTGGAGTGCCGCCCGAGAGCAGGGCACCACCGCGACAGGCACCCGAAAGTCCCTGGGGCAGAGGCATGTCTCTGGGTCGGAGCTAGGCCTAGCAACTGATCACTTTACCTACCTAAAATCTTGACGTTTTTTATGGTTTGGTTTCCCCATCTTTTTGCGAGACCAAGCTCCTTATATACACTCAGATCCTCTGCAACAGCAATAAGTTAACGTGTTGTGTCTACTAATGATGAAATTATATTGATATATGTTTGTACATATAGAAAACCATAAAGAAACGGCGACGAGTAGTTTTACATTTAAATTTATTTCGTTTAAAATTTCTATGCTAAAGATTTTACAGCGACACGCATTGTTCAACAATATTTTGTTTTGTTTACTCTTTTTTTTTTGTTTTTTTGTATTATATGTGGAGGGGTGAGAGGAAGGGTTTATTCTCAGATTTTTGTTTTGTTGATGTTTCCGCTTTATGTTTCGGTTTTCATATTTGGGCTTTTGGTCTCCTAAAAGTTACATCGTTGCTCTTAAGGTTTGAATTTACAAAATTTACGACGCATAAAATACTTAAGATCTAAATAAATCGTTAATGGTTAATCATCTGTTTAGCATGAGTTCTCCGTTTTATACATATGTATATCTATATATATAATGCGATATAAGGTTTGCATTTGCATTTCGAAATTCATTCTGATATTTACACATGTGTCTCTTGCGGATCTAGGGTCTATAATCTCACGTAATTAAGCAAACTATTAAAACAAATTTGTTTTACTTTCATTATCTTTTTTTTTGTTGTGTAAAATTTTTAAACTTTTTGTGTATAGGTTTTATGCTTAGGCAACTAAAGTAAAAACGAATTAATGAGATGGGGGCAATGGAGCATCGAATAATATATGATGGACTCTATATACAAAGCTATACAAAATTAAGGTAACGTTCTGCAGAGGAAGGATCTGCCATATGTACAGGATAAAGAGATAGAGAGAGTGGGGATTCCCATGGATTGCGATTTGTAAAAATGAAATGAAATGATATAAAATTAAGGTAAAACTAACACAAATTCCATATTATACTCTCAACTATGTATACGACGTGTAATTTGGCCACTTAACTATTCCGAACTCACCTACTCCGCACTCTCTCTTATTTTAAGCTGAGGCTTCAGAAATTAGCTTTGAATTGAATTAAGGATAATCTTGCACTTTGCGTTAATATAAAATTATAAATGGTAAAAGGAAACTCTTGACATTGAGGCTAAACTACTAACTAAATCTAATTCGAACCGGGTCTCTGTTGTGTGCGTTCTCTCACTCGAATCTCTCTAGAAATGTGGGAATCTACAGAGTTGCTGCTGCCAGTGGTTGCTCCAAAGGCTTCTGTTTCTGCTGCTGCGGCGATGCTGGAACAATAGCTGCCTTCAGGGAAGTTGTAGTTGTTGCTGTCGTCTCTGGCGATATGTTGCTGGTGCTCTCTATCTCGATGGGCTGCTCCAGATCCATGTCCACATACTCGATGGCACTGTCATCCTCTGGATGGAGTTCAATGACTGCAAAGGAAGTAGAAAAATATAAATATCCCGGAGAGATCTGTAGATCAGCATCGCCTCCACTTACTGCGATTGTTGAGTTCCAAGTGGGTTGATTGTTCAACCTGCTGCTCCTCCACCACTACATCACCTTCGAGTACTTCGTCCTCCTCCACTATGACATCCTCATCGTTCAGGGCTCCCTCTTGCTTGGAGGGTGTCGTCACTGGAGTCGTTTTGGTGGCTGCCTGGTCCAGCTCCATCTCCCAATCGGTGGCATTAAAGACCACCAACGGTGAGGTCTTCATCACCCCAGAACCCTGCTTGAGCTCCGTTCCGGTACCATTATCCGCCACTATAATGGGCATATTGATGATATCGATGGGTGTGTCCTCGGTAATAAGTTGATTGGGTTTTGGCTTGGCCCCACCGCTTGCGGGATTGTTAGGAGACGTTGCACTAATGGTGGTCGGGGTCGCGGGGGTCGCTCCGATGACCAGTACATTGGATTTGGCTTGGTGGCCAGTGTGAGGGCTCTCATGCCGCTCGCAGCGCTTGCTGGCAGGAAGACGAGATTGTTCTTGCCACCGCTCGTTGTGGAAAAGGTCACCGTGGTGGGTTTGGAACCTGGTTGCTTGCCGGAGATGGTGGTGGTGGAACTGCTGCTGTTCCCACTTCCTGTTGTGGCCTGCGCCTGTGGCAGAATCTGCATCTTCTGTATGCTAATTCGCTGCTCCCGTGCCTGCAAATTTGAGGATGCAACCGTTGTGGTTACTCCTGATCCCGCTGCTGCTCCTGATGGGCTGCTGCCACTCGCATTGTTTAGCTTGTGGATGATGCTACCAGCTGGCAGCTTGCCTGGCTGCAGGAATACCTTGCCGTTGGGTGAGCAAATCTTGATGTTTCGCAGGGCACTGCTGGGTACCTGCTTGATAGTTGCCGCCGCTCCTCCTGAGCTGGTGGTTAGCTTAATGTTTCCCAGAATTTGAGGGGAGGAGGCAGCTGTTACTGCTACTGCTCCCGACGATGACGACGCACCAATTACGGATACTCCGGCAGCACCCTTTATCTGAGGCTGTGTCACCTTCGCCCGGAAGAGATTGGCCGGCATCGTGGCTCCTCCAGACACTGGCAGCGGTGTAATGAGGGTATTGTTCAAACTACTAGCCGGTATATTCTTGATAATGTTCACCGTGGAGGCGCTGCTCAATGGTGTCACCCTGGAGTCCTTCAAAGGAGACGACGGGCTCCCAATGGGATCTGTGTACGGCAGTAGGCGAACCGCCGAACTGGCAAGGTTTTTGGCTTTGCATCACCACCGCCATCCAAGAGATTGAACTTCTTGGGCGTGAGTTTAGTGCCTGGCGGCAGAAGCGTGGTGGTGGAGTTGCTGGTGGGCGAAGAGGGCACCGCTGCCGGCCTCAATTTGGCACCCATTGGCGGCGCTGGGATTTGCTGAACACTGATGATCTGGGGAGTCAGAGGAAGATTTGCGGTGGAAATGGGGGGTATGGTGGTGTTGTAGTAGCTGACGGCAATGTGGTATCTGCTTGCTTTTCCTCCACAATGTACTTCTTGACGGGCGTACTCTGATTCTGTGTCTGCACCTGCACCTGCACCGGTGAACCCTGCACCTTATCCTTGAAAACAATGGGCGAATTGGCAAATCCTCGAGCGCCTGGAGTTGTTGGCGAACCAATTTCAGCAGCTGCTGCCGCCGATCCGCTTTGTGGTCCATAAACGAAAGGCTTCAGGGGCTTCAATGGCTTCAGTGTAACCAGTGGCCTTGAATCGTTGAAGAACGAATAGGGCGGCGTGGCTGTGGAGGTGGGCGTGGGCGTTGGTGTGGGTATCGACGGTGTGCTTGTGGCTGCCAACGTTTTAAGCGCCTCATCGAGAACATACTCCACGTGTGGCTGCACCACCAAATGATTGGGCACCGTCGCCTCCGACGATTGCAATAATACTTTCTGTTGCAGTTGCGCCTGCTGCTGCTGCAACTGTTGCTGCAACTTCTGTTGCTGCTGCTGTTGCAGTTGCTTCTGTGCCCGTCGTCCACTTTTGGCCGGAGCAGCTATCCTCTTTGCCGGCGTCGCCTCTCCGCCCGAAGATGATGATGCAGCGGCATTTCTACCACCCACAGGGCTGCCTGCCTGAGCGGGGGAGCCCAGGCCACTTCCCAGATTCCTTTTGCTGGCCAAACGCTGCTTGTGCTTCACCTGCTGCTGGTAGAAGAAGCGCTGCTGAGCAGTCCGTGGACTTAGACGCTTCTCCACGGGCACCGTTTCGCCATCCTCGGCGTTGGCAGTGTGGGACAACTGCTGATGCTGATGCTGCTGCTGCTGCTGGTGATGGGAAGTCTGGAGTGTCTGCTGATGCTGCATGTGCCTCTTCTTGTTGGGCTTCCCGCCATCAACACCGCTCTCGTTCTCCTTTCGCTTTTGCGTCATCTTCTTTACCTCATTGGGTACATCGGGTACTTTGAACTGAGGGGTGAGGAGAAGTACAAAGAAAGGGTATAAGGTTGATCGTTAATGTAATAATAAACAAATAATTTTTTAAATGGGATTTCAATTAAAATAAATTTTATAAGACATAATTATCATTATATGGATACATATAACTACATATACACACATATAAGTTATCTATAAAAAAAAAACCTTAAAGCAATTTAACAAACAAATTTTATTAAAATTGTTAAAATATATTTTAAATAAATAATGTAAAATAATAGTATAATAAATACTTAAATTTCCCAAATTAATTTCAAATATATGTACATATATTTAAAATAAGTCCTCTCCTTTTTTTCTGACTGTATAATATAATCCCGTTTAAAATCAGATTTGAATGGTTGAAAATGTTAACGGCTATCGATAACTTTTATTTAGAGCTAACAGTACCCGTTTTAACAGTTTATGTTAAATGTCTCTGATTGGCCAGGAATTATTTTTCTTTATATATATCCACAAAAATCTAGAATTTTGAAAAATTTGCAATGCATAAACAAATAGGATGGTGGAAAAGGATATTTTTTAGTTCCTAAGAACCATTTTCTTTACCGTTCTGTTAAGTCAACCACTAGGAACATAACATTCCAATTGGACGTACTCTTAAGGGAATTTTTCCCTCCAATTAACTTTGTTAATGGAAAATACGTTTTTTGAATACAACTTTCGAAATAAACAATACTTTTGACGGTGGAGAGCCACCTTCGACACCTTTTTGGGTGAGCTGCCCAGCCGCCCCCGGGACTTGCGATGCCAGAGGTACAGTCTCTGCACTTTCACTGCCCACACACACGACCGAGCGATGAGACGGGGGAAAAAATCACAGACGCCCGCGGCGGGATTATATAACTTACCGGCTCCTCCATGATCACCGCGGCTGGGTCCTGACTCCTGCCTCCCATCCAGCCCTGCTTCACGCTCATAAACGAGGCCTGCTCGATGAGGGCCTGGCCAAAGTGGACGCTCGTTTCGGCGGGTGTAGCCAGTTTTGCGTTCTCCTCGAAGGCCTTCTGCGCCAGATCATTGGCCACAATGCTGAGCGCCGTTTGGGGACTGATCCGAGGCAGCAGCGGATAGGGCCGGCGTCCCTCTCGCGACCATTCCTGCCAGGTATTGGGGCCGCAGACGCTGCAAGGGATACACACACGGGGGGCTTTTAGAGGGCACTGTAACGAATGCTTCTCCCACGGATCTCTTACTTCTCGGCAATGGTGCTAAGCTGCTCGTCGTTGGCGGCCCGACGAACCTCGGCGCGATGTCGCTCCTGGGTGATGTGGAAAAGCTGGCGCAGTTCCTCCAGCAGCTTCGCCTTCGGCTCACTCAGCGCACCTTGGGCGCGAAAAACGCTTACCACATGCGAATAGGATTCAAGTTCTAGGGGTGGGAAACAAGGACAAGGCACAGCGCCAAGATGTCGGTTAGATGCTTGACCTCAGCCTCGGGGGCAGTCCTCGCCAGACTTCTGGGGACCATCCAAGCGCTCTCACCAAGTCGACGCAGCATGCCTCGGCACTCGTCCCGCGACATCTCCAGCGTTTGCGGCCACATCTCTCCGTTCGCTAATTGCTATCCGTGGCCGTGGGCTATCCCGTGCAGTTGCGATCGCGTTCGCTTGGGCCAACGCAGGGTTATGTCGCGAATCTTGTTGCAAAAATTAAAACAAACTCCGAGGACAGCGTTTCTAATATCTGTTTCTGTGCGCCATTCACCGCGCAACGCCGACAGCGATGCGCGCAAGAGGAAGCAGCAATCGAATGCTCACCTTACAACACTGACGTCTTTTGCTATTCCCAGGCTGGCAGTGATGTTTAAACTACTTTCAACAAAAATGGCCGTTAAAATTCAATTTATCTGCGTAAGTGGTTCTTAACATTTTATAAAATATATTTTCCGCGATCTTCATTTCATATTTTTGGTCGCGATTATTAATGGAAATCAAAAATTTGTATATACAACGGGAGTATTCGAAGTTTTCCTGAGAGAGTGGCATCACTGGTAAGACTGTCATTCACAGGAAATAAGATATTTGCCAGCTCTTAAATATGATAAAAAGATAAACAATTGTACAACTTTTCGTCTCTTCACAGCTCTCGACTTTCCAAGTCTAATATCGCATCCTCGGACTAAAATAAAAAGAAGACAGTTAACAAGAAAATCAAACATATGTAACTATGTCTCGTCCAGACCTTTTTAAACCAGAATGAGGGCATAAAATTGATCTTATTTAAGAAGTTCATATCGGAGGGCGGATGAATGCCGTGCAGGTGAAGGTGATGCACCGATATAAAAGGGGGTATGTGGAATCCAATTATGGCTTCGGCTGGATTCACATTCTTAGATCTCAACAGCTCGATCATTCCCAACTCCATGCGCTGCACTGGGTATAAAGATAAACTCATTAGTATGCTCACGCACCTGAGACGTGGCTTATCTCTTACTTACCCAGTTCCAGGTGAGACCTGTTGAGGACGCTGAAGCTCTCAAAATGCTCTTTGGGAATCGCCAAGTAATGATGTCGGGCAGCCGGATATTTATCCTTAAATATGACGTATTCTTCCGTTTCCACCTCGAGATTTGGATTTGGGCCCCTGGAACTTGGCCTATGATGAGCAAAATCACAGAAAAAGCAGTCTTCAGGTCCAGATATTGATGAATTTTGGGAGCCGTATTTGTATAACGCAACCAAAATTACCAGGCCGAGACCAGCCAGGCCGGTTATATAAAGCCTTTTACGTTTTGGCATGCTTTCTGAGATGTAGGCCATGTTACGCTTAAGTTTATTTCTATGATAATTTGATTTTTTGTTTTTAATTTTCCCAGAGGTAAGCAGCTGGGTCGGCATAGCGCGGTAATTAATGATTTACTGTTGGACGGTCACATTGCCCATAGCCATTCAAAGGGAATTCGTGTAAAATCACAGAGATTTAACACCGGGGTCGGCTCTATACAAAAATTGTAAGGCATATAACTTCGATTAACGAACGCGTGCACATATGCACGGTGCATAGGCTTACTAGGGGATGAATAACGAGTATATGCTGAAAATTTTAATTGTTTTTAACCGTCAGATTTCGAGAAAATCGAATAACAGTGGGTGGTGTATTTGGACTGATTGCTAAGGCGCGAACTATGAAAATGGAACCAGATGGCAACCTGCAAAGAACCACTCGCTGAACCAGACCAGGAAACCATGATAAGAAAAATACTAACTAAATTAAATAACAATAGAAAAATTTTAAATAAAACATTAAGAAAAGTGGCTGCCCAATAAATGGAAACGCAATTCAAAACAATTTGGTGGGATTTTCATCTAAGTCAGGGATAATTACCTATTTCGTTCTTTTTATATTATTTTAGTATATACCACCACGGAATGATTAAGCCCCTCCCCGACCATTTAAACAATTTTATAAAATATGCATGCCCCATGAATGGAATTGACATTCCAAGAATTTTGGTAAATGTTTCATCAAAATCCGTTTAGCCGTTCAAGAGAAAACATTACTTATTCATTTATTTCCATAAATGTTCCTAAGAAGAATAAATATATCTGGCAGCACTGCCTGCCTAAAATTAAGTCAATTTGATTTAAACTTTATTATAAAACTTATGTAAAATAAAAATCGTACCATTAACGGGATCGCAGTTCTGAACATTTTGATCCATGTTTCAACAAAATCCGTTCCGTCGTTCATAAGAAATCCCGAGTTTTTCATTTATTTCCATTTATGTGTCCCGCAGCCCTGCCTAACAAAAAACAAGAAAAATTGAATTGAACTTTATGGTTAAACCTATGCAAAAGAAAGGTAGTCCCGTAGACGGCATCGCAGTTCTGAACTTTTTGATCTATGTTTCATCAAAATCCGTTCATTCGTTAATGAGAAATCCCGACTTTTTCATTTAGTGCAGTTGGTACCAGGGGTGCATAGTCATGCCTCCTTGGTACATAAATTAGTAATTCAAACGTTAATTTCTCCAAAACTACTGAACGGATTTCGATGAAACACCTACCAAATTGCTTAGAATAACGATATCATTTATTGGACAGACTATTATATGTTATTTCGAAAATTTGTTTTTCAAATCTAATGCTTCAATGCCCTTGCTTTGTAATATGATTTCAGGTCAAAAATTTACAACGTATTGAATAAATTATTTCCGACCCTATAAAGTATATATATTCTTGATCAGCATCAACAGCCGAGTATATATAGCTATGTCTATCTTTAAAATCGTTGTTAATATTGTGTTTTTATTATAAAAACATCAAAAGTATCTTGTTTTTAGTATATATCAAGACATTAATGTTTTTCCACCTCTAGAATTGACATTCACAGGGTCACGTAGTTTTGATTACACATCGCTATAGCAATTGCCATTCACTGGTACGCGCAAAATGGTCTGAATTGAAATGAATTTCAATTTTCCCGATGAAAACTCGCCCGAAACTGCTGGAAAATGTTGTTCCGCTCAGCAAAAAGCAAGTTCGACGGTGGAGACGTGATGCGCCGCCTAAAGCGCCTGGCGGAAGGCACCCTATCCTCCTACCGCCGCCTGTTCCTGCTGCTCCTCTGTGTTTGTGTGGTGTTCTATATGCTGCCGCCGATCTTTCGCTACATCTTCCTTAGTGCACCTGAACAGAAGGGTAAGTGGGCGCTGCTACTTCCAAAAGTCCAGCTGCTGAACACTATTCTTTGTCCTTGCAGATCCCCACAGCATTTGCATGGACGACCGGCTGACACCGTTTGTCCTCCAGAACTTTGAGTTCGATGCCAACATACGTCACGTGTCACCATCGAAAATGGCCGGTGAGCGCGATTTCACGCCCTATGTCGGCAACGGTTATCTGGGACTAGAGATTGCGCACGACGCCTACCTGAACATAAAACATGGCAGGGCCATGCAGCTGCCCATACGCTTCCAGCCCGTGGTTTCAGTATCTGGAGGAGGAGGAGGATTGGGGGGCGAAAAGGAGTCTACTGTCGTGGAGTACCTGACCGGCATGGTGCATCGGTTCCAATGCTTTGCAGATTACTTTGTATCTTACACTTACTACGCCCATCGCACACAGCCGGGCATCTTCATGCAGGAGCTGCAGATCACAAATACACGCAACATGATGGAGGACATCGAGCTGATCATGCCACGCGTCAATCTGCCCAAGCTGACAAGGCGAACTGTGACCCTCAGCGAACCCGTTACGGCTGGCATGTTTACCTACAGCGAACTGGAGGTGCTCACGGGCATTGTGCAGCCTCAGCCTGAAAATCCCAGTAAATGCATTGTGATAAGCATAGTGAAGCCGCAGTTGGACTCAAAATTGCAGCTAAGGAAGCGTGGCACAGTACGAATCGTGTATCCCATAGCCGTACAATACTCCAAGCTCGTGGCAGAGAGCCAAGTCAAGGGTATAGGCGAAGCCACCGAACAACAGGCCACTCAGACAATGATCAAGCTTCTGCAGAAGCTCGGCTCCAAGACCACGAATTCGGGCTCGCTGAACAGCATCAATAGCTATCGGCAGGAGCACATCGATGTGTGGACGGATCTCTGGGCCACTGGATTTACGATAAGCACATCCAAGGCGGAGAATAGCTTGAATGGCGATCGAATAAATGCCACCATGTATGCAGTTCTCTCCCAGGTGCGCAGCTTTGAATTCGAGGAGCTGGGCGTCGGCACATCAAAGAGAGACGATATTGCCAAGGCTTTGACCTATGCAGAAGGCTGCTACGATTCCTATCACACGCTGCAGGCGGAGAACCTTTGGCGGGATATGTCCAGCCTGCAGCAGCTTAATTCTCTAGTCTCGTCCTGGATGCTAACGTTGGAGAAGCAGGGCTGCCACAATCTTATTCGAGCCGGAGCCTCGGGCGTAATCCAAGCCATGGTCTTGAGCTTTGGTAGCTTTCGGTTCAGCAATCAGCATCTTGAGTGCAACATCCATCCAAAGTTCCTGCACAGAGACTTTCACTTCAGGCGCCTCAATTATGGCAACAAAACCCATGTGAATGTAACCATTATTGTCACTGATGACAATAAGGCGGTAATTAATGTGGCGCTGGATCGATCAGATCGAAGCTACTACGCCTGCGATGGTGGCTGCCTGGATGAGCCAGTGCTACTCACGTAATTATCAATGATACATAATCATTAAGTGTTTATATTTATAGTTCTCGGTTTTTTTCATTCCAGGCAAAATCGACGACAATTCCCAGTTAAATTGACTGAACCCCTGACAGCAATATTATACATAACCGAGGACAAGCAGCACATGGAGGAGCTGCACCATGCCATCCATGTCAAAGAAGTGGTTGAAGGTAAGAAAACCATATTAACGGTGGACACTATTCTATCAATATTTGTATTTATCTATAGCTCCTGCCCATGAGCAACATCTGATAGCCCTGCATCGGCATGGCCACCAACTGGGTGGCCTGCCCACTCTCTTCTGGGTGTCTGTGTGTGCAATAATTATAGTATTTCACATATTCCTGTGCAAGCTCATTATCAAGGAGTACTGCGAACCAAGCGATAAGCTAAGATATCGCTATAACAAACCGTGATCCTAGTTGTACATACGTATATAAATACAAAAAGATTGGATGCTAGTATAATATGAATAACTAACTACAAAATTAAAGGCTTTTTAAACATTAGTTGGTGCTTTTCACAGTTCCTAGTTTATAAAATAGATTAAGGTATCTCCAGGAGTAATTTCCCATTTCCGCAATAATATAATTCAGCCTTTTCGAGTTATCTATTGGTAAAATGCTTTACTTTTAAAAAGGCAGATAATTTAGCTTATGTACAGAGATATAAATGTAGATAGAGAGTGTGCAAAATGCATCTAGTTTAACTAAACTTCTCAACTTCGTTTGGTGCTTTTAAAATTCGTACAGGTGCCAATAAGTAGCTACTAGTAAACTCCATTCTCTACTGTGATATCAACTGCTTCCTCCTTATGCCATCCTACTTGGTGACCTTGTGTATGCTCTCGGCCAGGTACTCCACATTCTTGCTGGTAACTCCCGCCATCGAAACTCGTCCATCGTTGGTCAAATAGATGCTGTGCTCCTTGATCAGCTTCTGGACCTGCTCCGGCTTCAAGCCCGTGAAGCAGAACATGCCAATCTGGTTGACGATGTGATCCCAGTTCTGGGTGGAGCCCAATTTTTCGAGGTTATTCTTCAGCTTGCTGCGCACATCGATGATGCGATCGGCCATCAGCTTTACATCCTTCAGCCACTGGGCACGCAAGTCCTCGCTGTTGAGAATCTCGGCCGCAATCCTAGCTCCATGAACGGGGGGATTGGAGTAGAGACCACGGATGAGGATCTTCACCTGAGACATGACACGGGCAGCCTCCTCTGCATCGGAGCACATGACGGTAAAGGCACCAGCACGTTCACCATATAATCCCATGTTCTTGGCGAAACTCTGGGCCAAGCAGAAGTCATGACCATCGGCCTCGAAGATGCGAACCGCCTGGGCATCACGGTCAACGTCGCCGGTGGCGAAGCCCTGATAGGCCATATCGATGAAGGGGTACAGGTTGCGCTTCTTCACCAGCGCCGAGATCTCGCACCACTGCTCTGCAGAGGGATCCACGCCAGTAGGATTATGGGCACAGGCGTGCAGGAGGACTACGCTCTTCTCCGGGATTTTCTGAAGGATTTAAAGTTGATTTAGATATATATATTTTTTATATTTTTGTACCAAGGACTCACAGCCAAATCTTCCATCAGTCCACTAAAGTCAGGCCACAGGTGTCCTTGTTGTAGTAGCGATAGCGGTTCACCGGAGTCCGGCGTGCTCGAAAATGGCTACATGGTTACCCCACGATGGCGTTGGGATATAGATTTCGCGATTGCCCTTCCAGAATTTGGATAGGAAGGCAGCTCCGATACGAAGAGCTCCTGTTCCACTGATGGACTGGGCGGTGACATTGTGCTTGGCAGCCAGACGCTTGGATTCCTGTTGAATAACAATTAAATTAATTATAAAATCAAGATCAATAACTAATTAATTACCTTGCCCAAAGCCAGCTCGATGGCCTTGTTGTAAAACTCAGGAACGCCAATAATCGTAGCGTACTCCTTGTCCAATTTCTTGCTCACTACTCGTTTTTCCGCCTGTCAAGGAATAAAATATATATTTTATGATATGTATAAAGTCATAAAGTTGGTAATAACTCACCTCCCTCACACTGGGTAGCACAAAGGGCTGAGTATTATCATCACGATAGGCGCCAGCGCCCAAATTAATTTTCTTGGGTCTGGTCCTTTTTGAAGGCCTCTGTAACACCCAAAATGGCATCGGGGGGACCCATTTGCACCTCCGAGAACCATGTTGATCTGAAAGGAAAGAGATTGTAGATTATTTACCAATAACAATTAAGAAAGTTGTTATATGTATCTTATTTCCGTCTGTATGAATATAATTTATTTAAATCTAATGCACTTCCGTTCCCTCAATCTCAACCTTTAACCCCCCTTGGAACACCTTTCCTCTTCCTTATCTGGTTTTCTTATTTTAAATTTAATTGGTAGATTAGAGGACTGCTTAGTGGGTTATCTCATCCCCACGCCTGCCACTTGTATGCTATCTTTTATCATTCTGGTTTCATGACTAAAGTTTGAAAGTCATCTGGAGGTTTTCTTGGATTTTGCACCCACAGGTATGAATGCCCATCAAACAGGGGGGTCTTTGACTATAGCCCCCTCTTATCAGCTGTAAACATGTTATTATGGGAACTCGGTCGGTCGACGCCTTACAGAATACACACAATATAGATCCATTAAGGCCTACGTCAGTGATAAGGTTTAGCCTCTGCTGACGTAGTCACCTTCTCAATTCTCCGACTCTCATTATTCAGAACCGTAATAAATCGAGAAATAATCAAAGTTAATTAAACTCTTTCAATTAGGGTGCCACCTGCTTTGGATCTGATTTGTTTGATTATTATATGGGGACCTTCCGGTGCCGGCCTGAACTTCGATAAAACAAACCGCCATAATTTAAAAGTAGTTCCATAAAATGTGGGAATCAAAACACGCGACAAAAGCGTGATTTGGCCAAGAATACCCTGCGCTTTTTTGGAGCAGCATATTATTTAAGGTTTTTTATATAGTCATTTTAAATGTTTTGAGTAAGAAATAGGGAAAATTCTAAAAGCATACAAGCAAATAAATATAGAATTTTAAACATTTATTTATCTATGAAACTTCGTCGATTTTCTGTCCACTTGACATTCAACAAGTTTATTTAAATTCCTGGTACCGATTTATATTTCGTTATCTTAACCCCTTTTCATCATGCGGCTTTTAAATGTTCTCTCAAGCAGAAGAGAAAATAGCAAAAAATAGCTTTTGTCCCATGGAGCGTCATAAAAATTGGCTTTAAAAATAAATTGGAGGAATTAGTTGATATACTAAATAAGTAGCCCAAACATATGCGAATATTAGCTAATCAGACAAAAACAGCTGTAGTTTTCTTTTTTCGCTTTGCATATAGAGAATGATGAATTATAAAGCTTCTACGTTGCTGCTGACATAATAAAAAATTCAGGGTAACGTGGATTGCAATGCAAACAAATTATGCAGTAATGGAGAAAAAACAAACACACATAAACACACGCAATTAGACCGGCAACTGCAATGACCTTGGCAAATGACACCGCTGCATCTGCAACGTGTTCATACAACAAAAACAATACTGGGCCCCTTTCACTCTCCACTCTCTATTTTACTCACTTGCAACGAAGGGCGGCAGGGGCCAATCGGTTGCTGATCAACAAACCGCGCTGACAGATCTGAGACATTGTTAAATGCACAAAATAGTTGTACTATTGTTAAGATTTATTAATTGCGAAAATGTTGTCAAACGCCTTTAGGCTCAAAAGAATACTAAGCGGGGCAAATGAAATGGTCTGCGACTTGACAGCTTTCGTGCGCTTATCGATACTTATCGTGGCGAGAGCTTTTCTGGGTAGTGATGCCAGTTTAGACTTTATCGGAAGCGGTTATTTGGTTGCTAGATTTCATTTATAAAGTACCTAAAGTATAAATTTAATAAAAAAGAATTTCTAGATTTTATTTTCTAAACAAATAATTATGTAATAAACATTATAAAAACGAAGTTTCGCTATTGATAAAAATTAACTGGAATTGGGGTTTTGAAATTAAAAAAAATTTCTATGAATAACTTGTCACTTTAGAAATTTTAACAGTGGCTTGAATCAACCCAGGCGTTTACTACTTTCTTTAATATTTAAATTCATTTTAATCGATAGTTAGTTTGGCGGAGAAAGCTTTCTTTTGCATTCTGAATCGCCGCGCGCAGCTGTTTTTAATCTCGAATAAGCTTTGACTTTGTCTTCGGGCCCTCTCTTTGCGTCTGCCTTGTGAGCGATTTTAGTAGATTCTTAGTGGCGTTGGGGTGAAAAAGCAGAAAATAAGCGAAAGCCAGATAACATACATACATCACTCTTACCTTGTAATTCAATTAACTGGAGGAAAAATGCTGAGGTTTGCGGTAATTGCCTGTGCGGTGCTGGTGGCCTTCGCCGGAGCCCTGGAGTTCAGCGATTGCGGATCGAAGACGGGCAAGTTCACGCGGGTGGCCATCGAGGGATGTGACACCACAAAGGCGGAGTGTATCCTCAAGCGGAACACCACGGTCAGCTTCTCGATCGACTTTGCCTTGGCCGAGGTGGCCACAAAGGTGAAAACCGTGGTCCATGGCAAGGTCTTGGGCATTGAGATGCCCTTCCCTCTGTCCAATCCGGATGCCTGTGTGGACAGCGGACTGAAGTGTCCACTGGAGAAGGACGAGACCTATCGCTACACGGCCACGCTTCCGGTTTTGAAGTCATATCCGAAGGTCTCGGTCCTGGTAAAGTGGGAATTGCAGGATCAGGATGCTGCGGACATTATCTGTGTGGAGATTCCCGCCAAAATACAGTAGGATATCAACGGATTAAGCTTATAAATTAACGATTCTTATTGTAAATTAAATTTAAATAAAGAAATGTAAAATTAAGGGACATTTGAGAGTCTCATATTTGTTCTTTTGTAACTATAAAATCAATATCTATTAGTAAACTGAAGAAATATCTCTCGAAGTAATACTCCAAGTCCTACTGTAATAAAAGTCTATAATTATTATATTTCCCAATCGAACAGTCATATAAGTCCGTAACAATATATTCAAGTCATAATTTATTCTCGAAAAACCAAGGCAAAGCTAAAAACGAATGAGTAATCAGTGTGCGATCTCTGAGCGGAAGCCTCAAGTTCAGATTTTTCTCTCTTATTGTAATCTAATTTGAAAATAAAAAGAAATAAGAAATGGACTTTTGTGCCCTCTTTACTTGTCTGTATTTTGGGTAGGCCTCTGTTTTTTTTTATTATTATTTCCTTTTGTCTGCTTTTGATTGCATCTTCCGCTTTGATGGAAATGAGAGGAAGCAAGACAAAAAATATACTCTGAAGAATAACAGACAACTTTTTCGCTCAAATGATCTCAGTTAACATTGAGCTTTAAGGGTTTAAACATAAATCTTATTTTATATACATATATCAGAAAGTTGGGGTAGGAAAACCTAGATATCATAGGTCATTTGTAATCTATATTATATATTTGTAATGCATAACATTGATATCTTAGATGGATGTTTTTTGCTTATATATATTAAATTCTTAGGAAACCGAAGATATCTTAATAATTGCAAATAAAGCAAAGATAAGATAGTATGTTGCATGATCAGATGGGTGATTCAATAATTATGTTAAGCAAGCTGATTTCCTAAGGCATTCGAAAAAAACTTTACTTCTTTTCTACAAAAAGCAATTAAATTATTAAAATAAATTTACTAAATTGTGTCTTTTTATACTCTTGCAGGTTATAATAATTTAAGTTAGAAGCTTGTAATGCAGTGAAGGATTCATTTCCGACCCTATAAATCATATAAGGATAAAGAGCTGAATCCATAGACAATAGCCATGTCTGGTTGAAAACAAAATTTTCAAAATTTTCAAATTTTTTCAAAAGATAAGGGGTTATGTAATCAAAATTGTCAAAAATTGGTAAAAATGGTACTTTTTTTAATTTTAAATGGAGTATGCAGATTTATTAACCTAATAAAAACTAGCATATAAAAGGTTTCCGAATTGAAATTAATACAATACATTTTTGGCTTAGTTATGAGATTTTAAATTTGATTTTAAAACAAATTTTCATATAAAATAACAATAAATGTCGATTCAAAAAATGAGAATATTTAAGCTTAGTTATGATTGATTGATAAGTCAATTGCAAATAAGGCTTTCCCAAGTTAGTTTTTTTCTTGTTTAACATTGGATTTTTAATAAGAATTAATAAAATAAAATTAGAAATATTATGAATATTCCACGGAAATATTAGGTTTATTGACCTTTAACAATAAATATACGCATTCTACTATTGGCTTTTGAAGATAAGTTATATCAGTGGGAAAATGTAGTACACAGAGAAAATTCCAAATGCAACTAAATTTGGGTTGAAACGAAAAATCGAGACTTTCTATTGGTTAATAGAAAATTTAATTTTTTAAACAAATGAGTCATAATATGGCCTTTTTACAAGATTGTAATATATTCCAACATATCCCTAACTTTGTACCTTAATTGTTCAAATTAATGTACACTCAAAATATTATTTTGCTTTTTTGTTTTTAATTTTTAAACAGTAGTTAATATAAATCCCAAGGAAATATTTTACTAATAACAAACCTCTTAATTTCTCTCCCTGCAAAAAGTAAACCTTCTAAAAGAAATTTGATAAGAAGCAGGTGTTCGAATGACTTTATTTGATAAGCTGTGTCATGAATGAGAAATTCCAGCTATCCATGAAGACATTCTATAATCCTGAAACCTGACTCAGTATCACTTTATCATCACTCTTTTCTTGTGCAACTTGTCAACTATGTTAGCTCCTTGGGTAAATATACTCAGTTGCGAAGAGATAATGAGTAAGCTTCTCTATCGGAACTGAAAACAATGCTCATCAATGTTTTGCTTACGGTTTCGATTACCGTCTAGAGTTCGCATTTCGCTCTCAGTTCTTCTGCCGAACAAAGACTCAACTGATAAGAAGCTAAAAAACAACAGAAATATCGCACAAAATAGGGGGAGTGAGGGGGTGGAGAGCGCAGCAGCTGAGACCAAGTAAAAACACAAATCAACTGCAGTCGAGCTTTCCATTTCGTTTTCTCCAATTTCCATTCCTTTTTCCACCAAAATACTCCCACACACAGACATTGCCAGGCCATGCCATATGGTTATATGCAAATAATGCAGGGGAGTTGGGCGGAGATAGTGGGTGGTGTGTGTGTGAGTGTGTGCATCAGATAGAATTATCCGCAGTGCGCCAGGACCAAGGATATTTAAGCGAAAGAAATCGCTTTATTACATTCACTTTGCGCCACGGATTGCTTGAAATGCAATTCCAAACTTTGATTCGGTGTCGGGAGTTGGATTTCGATTCGAGACTTTATTTTTATATATTTTACATTTTTATTTTATTTTGTGCGATTCTTAAGAAAGTTTGATCCGGCTGAAGAGGCTAAGAATGTGTGTATAACTTAAGAATTGATGGTGCTAGCGATAAGCATATTTTGGTTTGTGGTTCCATACTATATTTCTTGGGTTTTGAAAGGAATTACAGGGTATAAGAAAATGCTAAAGAAAGCCTGAATTCTTTCAAATATTGGTAGAGGTTTAAGAACACCGCACAATATTCGCTTTTTTTAAATAATAATACTTATTTACATTTTAAAATAGAATGATTATAATTCTTTACTAAGTAACTTCAAAAATATGCCGTAACAAGGTTGCCTAGTTGTTTACTTTGTAGCTAAATATTAGGTATACCTTTAATATACATAATACCTTAAAATATAGGTTCCCTATGCAATGATACCTCTAAAACCCAAGCTGCAATTTGGAAATACTATATTTAACCTTCCGGTTAGGGCTTCCGCAAGTCAACTCGCCAAGTGGTGGACACTCCACCATTTCCTCTGATGTTTTCACTTGATTTACATATGAATCCCCGCATAAAGCACGACAGTCCGAAAATGCAAAAAGAAAATGTGGGCCAAGCCCCAGGACCATACTCTTAACCCACCGTTGTGGCGCCTCTTAGCCACCTCCCAGACCCCTCCCCCGCGCCTTAACCCATCTGTAGACACAGCTGACGTTTAAAAACTTGACACAACGCTGCATAAAAGTGGGTAAAGTCGGTGGATACAACAAAAAAAATATGGAAGAAAAAAATGAGGAATGAAAAGAAATGTAGGCGGATGTGGGTTCACTCAGAGAATTATGTGATTAAGATATAAGAAATATTATAATATTTATCTAAAGTAAACAAAGGTGTCTTATTAAGACATTAATTATGAATTATTCATTATTTTTTCAGGTTTATATTAAATTAGATTTATATAGATATCAAGGGTGTATTTTTGAGAGTTTAATTTATAATTTATTCAATAGTTTTAAATTTTATTTTTAATTATTTAATAAACTAGTGGATTTCTGTTCTTTGAAAGAGTGTAAAGAGTCTCCTTTATAAAGACACAAATATGCATTTATTTATTTTCTGTTAAAGGTCCTTCCAACATCAAGTGTAATAAAAGTTGAGTGCTTGTTTGTACTGTTTGCCACTTAAAATTCCCAAGTGAAATTCAGTGACATTGAAGATGAAGAGCATGTATGACAAAATTAATACTAACACAGGAAGTTGGCAAAATCCGAAATAGTATCGATATTTGTTTACTAAATCACTAAACTTCACCTAGATTTAGCATATATGTTATGCATATTTTTATAATTTTTTTTTATTCTTTTCCCACATAACAAACCCCTTAAAACTCTCCATTTAATCTCTTGCAAATGCCGCCGATCTATACATTTATTTAAATAGGTCAGTAAAAATATAATATTTGTGTGTGTGTGGTTTCTACATATTTAATTTTTGTGTGTGCATTTCTTATATCTCTGCTGGTGGCAGTCCAGCCCCAGTCTGCCCATTTCTTTTTTTTTTTTTTTTGGATTGCATATCATATGAGTTAACCCACCCAGGATCCCAGCATCCCAGCATCCCAGCATCCTCCCTCTTTTTGTAAGCCGCTGTGTCTGCACAGAATTTCTTGCATAAATAGCAGCATGTGCGGAGGAGATCCTTCTCTCTCTCCCGCTTTTGTCTGTATATGTGTGTGTATATGGAAAACGAGAATGAAAATGGAAAACATTTCTGCTGCTCTCGCTGCTGCATTTAAAAGTAAAATGCAACTTCCTACTGCCACGCCTACACGCCGCACCCGCCTCCTATCGAATGTTAATGCAATACGAAACGAACAATTTTCGTTTCCGTGCGGTTTTGGCCATTGTAAATAAATTGCAAACTCTGATTCTGGCCATGTCACTTTTTTGGTCACTGCACATAGTTATTTTCTTGTTTGACTTTGCATTAAATTCTGTTAATTACGCAACACTCCTCCTTTAAGGGAATGGTGGGGAAAAGGAAGCACTTTAAGTTGTCATCTGCCGCTGACAGTCTGTGCCAACTTTACTTTTTAATTATTATCTTAACTCGCATATTTGCTGATAATTTTTTTTTTTTTGTCATATTTGGTTAACTGACAACTTTTTCGCTTTGAAGTGCTTTTAGTTGGTGGGGAAACTTTAAAAATCTCTGATTAATTGCTAAAGTTGGAAATTTGTTTGTGGCACATGTCGTTGCAGCATTATGAAGATAATAATAACGTGGGGGTTGTGGAAATTTGGAGGGAGTTTTCCCTTTAAATCTTCTTCATATTTTTTTGTCTGTCAATTTTGCTATTCTCTTTTAGTTTGGCATTTTTAAGGGGGTTTTTCTTGATGGTCCTAGCCAAGAGAAAGAAGCTTAAGACATGTCCAGGGTTAAGCTGGGCCAATTAGGATGATGGGAAAAAGAGAAAAACGAAGGAAAAGCTAGGAGAAATCGCAGTACAGCTCAAGCAGGCTTCATTTTTATTGGGAAAAGGGAAAACCACACTTAAAAGCTAGATTTTATTTTTTTGTTAATAAAATTGAATTAAATAAGAAACAAGTCACTTAAAAGAGATAAAATATAGCAACAAGAAGTAAATAAAT